AAGAAAGCAAACTCTTCTTGCAACCTGGCCCAGACTCCCAAAGAGCAGAAAAGCTTGGCATCCTGAAGATGCACAAGGACCCCATGAACAACTGATGATGTAGAACTTCACTGCTGTGCCAAGTTAGACCACGACAATGCAGAATAATGAAGACATGGCCACAAGGGCTATGCAAGTGGTGGGAAGGGGTGGATATGCTCAAGACCATCCTCCCCATGGATTCCAAACTGTCCCAAACAACAAAGGGCAAACTGTGTGAAAGGTTGTTCATGGAACTAAAAGAGTAGGTACCTGCACTTGATTTGCAAATAAGAAGTAAAGGAAAATGAACACTTATCAGCTGGTGTTGAGCCGGTCGTCCTGTACGAGAGAGCAAGCTGGCACAGAAGCAGCTGTTCAAACAACTGGAAGTTCTGAGTCACTGAAGAAGCGAAGTCCGGGTCACATGATGCACTTGCCAAAATTAGGAGCCCCCAGACCATGTTCCCTGGGAGCTCGCGGATAAAAAGACCTCAAGGGTGGGGGGTGGGAGGTTCCAGAGGGAGGGAACACATGTGTACTTGTGGCTGATTCATGTCAGAAACCAACACAGCATTGCAAAGCAACTATCTTCCAATTAAAAAAAAAAAAGCCTAAGAAAAAGATCTCTGGGGGGTGGGAGGTTCCAGAGGGAGGGAACACATGTGTACTTGTGGCTGATTCATGTCAGAAACCAACACAGCATTGCAAAGCAACTATCTTCCAATTAAACAAAAAAAAGCCTAAGAAAAAGATCTCAAGAAGCCCTATCTCTAACCTAAATGCTCACTGAAAAGAAAAAAAGATTTTCTGCAAGCAAATTCATCAACTGAACCTTATGAGTTTTCATAAACTGACTTAGGATCTTAAAGGCCTTGCAATAAGCACCTGAGAAGAGCTATGTCACAGCCTCTCTGAGCAATTCCTCATCAGTAAATGAAGGATGCCACCATCTGATACCTAGCTACATGATCATTTGGGAATTTTAATGAAACAACAGTGTCTGGGTGCCATGAAGATAATGCCAATAATATCTCAAGTTAGCCCTAAAATTCTCTTATCCTGTACGCGTTCAGGAAGAGCCAAATAGAAACATCACATTTCACTTGACCCTCAGGGCTTCAGCTCACCAATCAAGAGCAGAAATGGATCTTTCATTCTTTTTTTCTTAAAACCAAGTATCAGCTGGATAAGCAAACTGCTCCATGAAAAAGCAGCTCTAAAGTCTACCACCGGTACTCAGATCCCAATGACTTACTGTGAAAGAGACTGAACATCAGCTGGGGGCTATCATGGTGACTATGTGCCCTCCCAAATCATGCTTATAAGACCCTTTGATGATGCTGTGGCTTCATTTCTAGAACCGTCCCAGTGATGAGTAAGCACTCAGAATTAGTTTTTACTCAGTCTCTACCAGAGATGGATTTGTGGACAAGGTAAAATCATGCTAAATTGAGTTTTTTAGGGGAAAAAGAAGTTATTAGGGATTTCCTTGGTGGTTCAGTAGTTAGGAACCCACCGTGCAATGCACAGGATGTGGGTTCAATCCCTGGTTGGGGAACTAATATCCCACATGCCAGGGAGCAACTAAGCTGATGCATACAACTACTGAGCCCACACACTCTGGAGCCCGTGAGCCACAATGAAAGATGAAGCCACATGACTCAATGAAGATCCTGCTTCCTGTCTGCCACAACTAAGACCTAAGGAAGCCAAATAAATATAAATAACTGTTTTTTAAAATAAAAAGTTTTTTTATAAAAAAATGTTATTAGTTTTTACTACAAGATAAGCATTGCTTTTTAAAAAAATTAACTTATTTATTTTAATTGGAGGCTAATTACTTTACAATATTGTGGTGGGTTTTGCCATACATTAACATGTATCAGCCACGGGTGTACATGTGTCTCACCATCCTAAACCCCCACTTCCCACCTCCCTGCCCACCCCATCCCTCTGGGTTGTCCCAGAGCATCAGCTCAAAAATTAATGAAAATGGAAAGCATCAGTTCAGTTCAGTTGCTCAGTCGTGTCCAACTCTGCGACCCCATCGACTGCAGCATGCCAGGCCTCCCTGTCCATCACCAACTCCCGAAGCCTACTCAAAATCATGTCCACTGAATCAGCGATACCATCTAACCATCTTATCCTCTGTTGTCCCCTTCTCCTCCCACCTTCAATCTTTCCCAGCATCAGGGTCTTATGGAAAGCATAATGAAATATAAATCCTGACTTTTGCATTTCTATTTAGCAGTTTCAAAACCCAATTTAGAGCACTCATTGATCAAGGGAGAGAAGGAAGGGCATCCACTGATCAAGAGAGATCTAGACATGCCTAATGCCTGGCCTTGCTGCACTGCACACAACTGCAAATGTCAGGCTCTCACCCCCACGAGGCAAGTCTCCTTTGAACACTAAACCTAGTATCGTCATGTTCAGAGTTATTCAGAATGTCAATTTCTTAAAGGAAAGGCATCATGCATCTAGGCAAGCATTTACCCTGTACCCAGCTTTCTTCATTTCAGAAATGGCCACTGAAGTGAGAAGGCTGAGTTAATTAAAAATTTCCTTCTACAGGCTTACTTCCCCCTGCACAAACCCAAGGGAGTACGGGAACTTGAATAGCCTGAACATCCTTCCCCACATATAGGGCCCTAACCCTGAGCTTGGAAGAAAAATTCACTAACAGCAGATTGGATCACACAGGGGGCTGATCAAAACTACGTTTTTAAGAAAAGAAGAGCAAAGAAGAGAAATGTCACTGAAGGCTCACGAGCCTGACTTGTAAGAAAAACAATCTCAAAGTAACGAGAAGAAAAATGACTTGGACATGGGTTTACATAAGTTTGATCCTGGGGAGCTTTCAGTGTTGTTTCAGCTGTAAATTATTAGAATAATCTTTAAAATACGATTCCATATATAAACGTAAGGCATCCTTGGGTTTAAGATGACACTTCATGAAGAAGAGATATTATTGGGAAAGTAACATACACTCCACTGCCAACAAAAAATTAGTGGAAGAATCACTTCCTGTGCTTATGAAACACTGCTAGGCAAACATCTTCATAAGCACGTGCAGGGTTTCCTCAGGGGGCAAGGGGCTGACTTCTACCATCGATTATGCTGCGGATGGCTGGTTAACTGAGGGCAGAGGTTATTACACCTCACACTGATACACTAGTAGCTGCTAGTGAGCATGTGGGTGGAATATCATGTTAACAATCACCTTCTTTCACACACATGGTTAAGTTCTTATAAAGATTTTCATTTTACCATAATTGAAAAAGATAGATGTATCCCAATGTTCACTGCAGCACTATTTACAATAGCCAGGACATGGAAGCAACCTAAATGTCCGCTGACAGATAAATGGATAAAGAAGTTGTGATACATAAATACAATGGAATATTACGCAGTCATAGACAGGGATTCATGTGAGTCAGTTCTAGTGAGGTGGATGTTATACCAAGTGAAATCAGACAAGCAAATATCGTATCAATGCCTATATATGGAATCCAGAAAAATGATACTGATTTAACCTATTTGCAGGGCAGGAATAGAGACTCAGACATAGAGACTTCTGGATGCAGTGCGGCAAAGAGAGGGTGGGACGAATTGAGAGACTGGCACTGAAATATATTCATTACCGTATGTAAAATAGCTGGCTAGTGGGAAACTGCTATATGACTGAAGGAGTTCAGCTTGGTGCTCTGTGACGACCTAGAAGGGTGGCATGTGGTGGGAGGAGATTCAAGAGGGAGGGGACATGTGTATACCTATGGCTGATTCACGTTGTTGTATGGCAGAGACCAACACAAGCATTGTACAGCAATTATCCTTAAGTTAAAAATAAATACTTTTTTTTTTTTAAAGATTTTCATTTTTCTTCAGATCCTTGTGCCCTCAAGCAGGCTGACATAAAAAAAGGGGTGCAGGTATTGGTAGCCAGGCATTGAGATGGTATAGTTCTTCCCATAGAGGACCGTGTACAATTAGGTGCACATACTAACTGTACTCAGACATAGTCCGTCAGACATAGTCTTTGCAACCCCATGAACTGTAGCCCGCCAGGCTCCTCTGTCCATGGGATGCTCCAGTGGGTTGCTATTTCCTTCTCCAGGGGATCTTCCCAACCCAGAGACTGAACCCATGTCTCTTACATCTCCTGCTCTGGCAGGCAGATTCTTTACCACTGAGCCACCTGGGAAGTCACAAAAAAGAGAAGTGCAGAGAGAAACAGAAGCCCCTCAAAGGCCAGGGCATGTTGTTTTTCTGGAATGAGACAGCCTAGCCTCACTCGCTGGGTGAGCTCAGAGGTCACGTGAAGCCTGTTCAGACCCCTGGTGACCTTCCCTGTAAAATGCAGGGGATCATTCCCTCTGTCGTGGGCTTGTTCTGAGGATTAAATGGGACAGCGTGTGTGAAAGCCCCTGGCACGGGACCTAGCCACATGAAGCACGTGAAAAAGTAATACGGGCTACTACTGTTTCAGAGTCTTTGCTGTCCTTGACATTTCAGGCGATAACACGAGCATGAATCAACTGTCAGCCGGGATGAACATTTGGAAATAGATTATTAGTAACTCCAGAGAAGGAAAAAAATCGTATTGGGTTGGTCAAAAAGCTTGTTCGGGTTTTTCACGTAACATCTTATGGGAAAACCCAAACAAATGTTTGAGCCAACCTAGTATTTTGCTTTAACTAAGACATTCGCAAGGGCTCCCGTGTCTTCAGCTCAGGGCACAGCATCTAGCCTTACCTCTGAGGGACCCCGGCCCTGCTTCACCCACAGCTGTGAACAGAAGGTAACTGCATAAACACTCTGGGTTCCTTGGAGAGGCTCCCACGGCAATGACGAACGCAAGGCCCAGGATGTCAGCCCTGTGACATTCGGGCTCCTTACCAACTAGCCCCTTCCAAATGAGAATTATAGATTCAAGCAACAGAGGCTTTATTTTTAAAAAGCTGGAGAAGGCACAGTACCTCTAGTCGTTGTATGCGTCCCTTGAAAAACATAAAGAGGGAAGAGTTTGGATAAGCAGCTTCTTTTTTGAGAAGAATTTCCTTCGCTTCATCCAGGCCGGCTTTGTTATCACTGCCATCCAAGGCAAAAAACGGGCGGACCACAGTATGATACCAGAGCAGCGCTAATCTGAAGAACAGGGACAGAACCCGTGAGAGACGCGGACTTTGCTGACAGTGTTTCCAATCTCGAAAATAATCAGTCTGTGCTCCTCCCATACACACTCCTTCCAGAAAACTCCCTAGGCAGTCCCTAAGTAAAAATCTGTATCTTTCCCCATGTTATTTTGATCCATATTTGGAAAATCACAACTTTCGAGCACAATGTATAAATCAGCATACTCCCACCAGGGAAGAGAATAAGGTGACAGAAGCATGAGGCTTCTAGATGGATTGCTGAAGGCATCATTTACGTAAATCTCTGAATTCTACTCTGTACTCATCAATGCATAAATTAGAAACGGTGACTAGTGATCATGAATTTACTGTCCCCTTATAATTACTTTCCACATTACTTTTTACAAAAGGAAAGCATTTGTTTTCTCTTGTGTTCACAAAAGTTAGACTGTAAGTAAGCCTCACACCTTGAATTTAAATACAGGAACCATAAGCAAAATTACACAAAATTAAGTTAAAATAAGTTACAGGAACAGAAGAAGGGCCCTTTCTCTAGCCTTTGAAAACCAAACAAATAAGTTACTTAAAATTCTCTCACTTCAAACTCATCCCTTTCAAGAAAAAGGCCATGTTAAACTAGGTAAACAAAATAGAGTCACTGGGATCGGCTTTGAAAGACAAAAATCGTGTAACCAACACAACAAATATTTTTATGTAAATATATGCTTCCAGTGTGCATAAATTTGATCCTTTTCTGGAGATCAGACTAATTTACATTATTTTTAATTCAATTCATTCCTTTCTCAGAAAATGTTATTAAAAAAGACATATTATCACAAGTTATAAATCCACTAAGTCAAATTAATGAAGGACCACTGTTTGTATAATATAAGGAGTTTGGGAAGGCATGAATATTTTTACAATGAAAAATTAATGACTTTTTTATAGTCGCTACCAAACAATTAGGAGTTAACATCAAAATTCCTCAATACTGACGTAAGTAGAAACCCAGCAAACTAAGGTTCTCTGTGATACCAACATCTTTTGGAAAAATTCTGATAAGTGGTGCAATGTCAAAGCACAAACAGTATTTCATAAAATTATTCAAATTGCAAATGGTAGCAGATATTTCAGTTCAGTCCAGTCACACAGTCATGTCTGACTCTCTGCGGCCCCATGGACTGCAGCACCCCAGGCCTCCCTGTCCATCACCAACTCCCGGAGCTTGCTCAAACTCATGTCCATAGAGTCGATGATATTTACCAGATTGAAAAAAAAAACCACATCGTTTTTAATTGATGAGGAAATGGATGAATCCTTGCTCTGGATGGTTATATCAGCTTCTTCACATTTTTCTGTATAAATAATTATCATTTAAGTCTGAACAATATAACTGAATTTAGTTGAATAGCACAGACTGTCCAGGCCACAGTAAGAGACCAATGGACCAACTAGAGTCATCAAGAAAAATTATCCAACATGAGGATTAAAAGAAGAGAGATTTCAGAATCACAGAACAGCCTTATGAAATTTATATCCTCTGAAGTCCAAAATCAGGATTACGAATCTCAGTGACGTCAGAGTCACTGCTTTTAAATGCTTATAAATCATGATCATTTTGCCTGTTTAAAACACAGAACTCATTAAAAAAATAAAAATAAATTTTAAAAAGAAAATGGTAAAGAAGAGGGGCTTTCCACAAAAATTTAAAAAATGAATAAATAAAAATCAAATACAGGACTCATGAGACTTAAGAACAGTACTCTGTTCTCCAAAAGAAAGTCCGTCACTCACTTGTGTCTGACTCTCTGCGACCCCATGGACTTTAGCCCGCCAGACACCTCTGTCCATGGAATTCTCCAGGCAAGAATACTGGAGTGGGTTGCCATTTCCTTCTCCCTGTTTCCCAAAGTTAACTCCTAAACATCACCAAAAACATGGTCCTTGGCATTCCATTGAAACTTAAAAGGCATGGCAACATGTCAACCAACCAAGCACTGATTTTACCTGAAGTTTCCTATAAAGGTTTTGCTTGTCGCTTACTTTCAACTATATTATCTACCAAAGCATTGCAATACAGCTACTCACGTAGCTAAAGGGGCCTTCATGTCCTTACTTTCGCTTGCATACATCAGTGAAGAAAGCCCCTGCAGACGGTCTCCAGGAAAACCCAGCAGGTTGATGATTTTGAGCAGGTTTGGGGGCACCATGGATATGCAAAGGTGAAAAAGGCCGTATCCAAAGCTCACAGCACCTTTCAGTCTGTTCAGAGACTCCTCAGACACCCCTTCAGCCACAATGTGGTTATCATTTGCAGCATCGGAAGTCAAAGGCTCTTCTGTTAGCTTCTTCTGATACAGCTCCTGCAGGGCGTTGATGTCCAGATAGCATTTATTGTAAATCTTCCAGGCTTTCCTAAGGATCCACCCACCTTTTATATATGCTATAAAGGGAAGGGGAGAAAAGTATGAAAAAAACAAGCATTTAAATAATTTTCCTATACCAATAATAAAGATACTGAAGAATGATTTGAAAAAAATCAAAATTAAAAAAAAATACAAACTATTATCCACCATGACAACTTGTTTTTCTTTACATGGCTTAAATTCCTTACTTGAGGTCTGTTTCAGGGCTCCCTGGGTAGCTCAGACAGTAAAGAATCTGCCTGCAATGCAGGAGACCCAAGTTCAATCCCTGGGTCAAGAAGAATGACTACCCACTCCAGTATTCTTGCCTGGAGAATTCCATGGACAGAAAAGCCTGGTGACTACAGTCCATGGGGTCACACAGAGTCAGACATGACTGAGGGACTAACACTTCCACTTTACTAGTCTGGATGGCAAGAGCCATGTATTATTTTGTTCATTAAATAGAGTCACTCACACAGTAGTGAGGGTGTAAGATCTTTGCTGTTGTTCAGTTGCTCAGTTGTGTCTGACTCTGTGACCCCATGGACTGCAGCACCCCAAACTTCCCTGTCCTTCACCATCTCCTGGAGTTTGCTCAAACTCATGTCCATTGAGTCACTGATGCTATGTAACCATCTCATCCTCTGCTGACCCCTTTTCCTTTTGCCTTCAGTCCTTCCCAGTATCAGGGTCTTTACCAATTAGCATCTGTTATCAGCTGAATGAATGAATGCAAGCCTCATCTGAATCCAACTTATCCCACGATTAGTGTGAAATCCTCTACCGCATTCCTGAAACCGCTGGCAGTCTCTGTGATACCACTGGAGTGCTCTTGGCTAAACCTTATTACACCTGTACTTCAGACACTTGGATGTTCTGCAGCAACACCTCCAAGAAACAGTGCAGATTCGTTCCTCAGATGGTACAGAAGAACCTGCACCCCTCCCAGCCTCCCTGCCACCCCACCACAAATGGTGAGCTGGTGAGCCCTGAGGGAACTCAGGAAGGAAAGAATACCTGCCCTCTAGCAGTCGTCAGACCGCAGCCACTCACTGCAGTGAGCCCTGAGGAAGCGCAGGATGTGAAAACAGGATACCGGCCCCAGATAGCTGAGGTGCACATCAACGGAATGATTTCAGTGAGCCCAGACTCTTGCATCTTCCCATACATAGAAAAGGGTTAAATTCCTTAACTTGGGTTATCTGGTTTCCTTTAATCAACAATCATTTTTTTTGATGTTCAGACTACCTGCTCTTTGTTGCAAAACTTCTATATAACCTGGCTCCTCCTTCAACTCCTTGGAGCAGTTTTTCTCAGTTACTTGAGGCTCTGTCTCCTCGGCTTGAAGGTCTAAAAATTCCTACTGAATAAAAGAGTTCTCAACTTTTAGGTTCTGAAAATTTTTTTAAGCCCACAAAGATAATTTCTAGAAAGTTCACATTTAGGAGGTCACAATAAAAGTTAAATCCTACTTTTTACTTGAGCCAAAGAGAAACAAACCATCCTCAAGCATGATATGGAGACAGAGAAGAAAGAAACGGAAACTGGCTGCCAGTAGTCCAGATCAAGAAAAGTGCACGTCATGACTTAGCAGCAGCAAACCCTTCTTCACTGCAGGTTCGGAAGAAAATGCTTTTCTCATTGTGATTTATAGTTGATTTCCTTATTGAACACTCATGTTTTCAAGTAGACCCTAGCTACCAAAGAGGCAGGTATCTGCCATCAGGAACAGAGATAAAAAACCACAAAAGAGGAAGAACTAGGATCAAAGTTAAACTTACAGTGAACTCTTGACAGTCTCCATTCCAATCTACACTCCTCAAGATATCAAAGCTACAAAATCCTGGAAAACATTTGTCTTGGGTAAACTAAATAAGAATCAGTTTATAACTCCTCATTAAGGGCTGTTAAAATGTTGGTCATTCAAGTATGTTAGGAAATCTTTAGTACACGCTCCGTCTTTCAATAACAATTTGCTGAGAAACAAACTGGTTATATTTCACTTTAAAGGGTGATTATCACAACTTGATTCCCACCCACACACCAAAAAACCTATCAATTTATCACTCTATCTAAGGCACAGGTAATATCTCTAAGTATGAGAGACTATCTGCAGACAAGAGGATGAAAAAGATTTTGGAACTAAAACTATTCCACTAAATACACATTAAGCACTCCTGGTATCAATTTCTTAAGTAATAAATCAAAATCATGCCCCAAACAGGTGCCACATGTTTTCAAAGACTGAAATACAAGGTGTTCTAAAAAAAAAAGTATGGGATATTACCAATTGTGTCCACTGAATAGCAAAAACTGTTAAAAACAATGCTTTAGCATACCTGACAATTCTTGCTTTACAAATGAGAGAACAGCCAGGTAAACTTGACAGTCAGCTATGATTATCTGCCTCTGAAGCCGATCAACCATAGAGGGGGTAGATTTTCGGACATCAACCTGTTTGGTGGGAAGAAAGTACATACAGATAAATCACACCCAAGAACAACAACACTCTTTCCAAAAAACTATTACTTTACCGGGCAGAATAACTTCACATAGGAAGTATGGAACAGTAGTCACTAAAATCCAAGACCAAATTTACACTACACTCTGAGCCTGGGAGTTCCAGCTTCCTCCATTAAGTCTAGCTTTATTTTGTTACCAACACAATGCTGTAACTCAAAGAGCCTTGTAACTCAAAGACAAATATTCTCAATAATAGAAACACTTCATGGGAAACACGAAAGCCCACACAAAACTTTAGAGTTTTACCTTTTTCAAAACAATGTAAGTTAAAAACTTATTACATTATGTAAGTTGTATATATATAAGTTTAAAACCTAGACAGCAGAGACATCACTTTGCTGACAAAAGGTCCATCTAGCCAAAGCTACGGTTTTTCCAGGAGTCCTGCACAGACGTGAAAACTGGACCATAAAGAAGGCTTAGTGCCTAAGAATTGATGCTTTTGAATTGTGGTGCTGGAGGAGACTCTTGAGAGTCTCTTGGACTACAAGATCAAACCAGTCAATCCTAAAGGAGATCAACCCTGAATATTCATTGGAAGGACTGATGCTGAAGCAGAGGTTCCAATACTTTAGCTATCTGATGCAAAGAGCCAACTGACTGGAAAAGACTCTAATGCTGGGAAAGATTGAAGGCAAAAAGAAAAAGGTGCAGCAGAGGATGAGATAGTTAGATAACATCACCAACTCAAATGACTCCTGAGTAAGCTCCCAGAGATAGTGGAGGACAGAGGAGCCTGGTGTGCTATAGTCCATGGGGTCACAAAGAGTTGTACATGACTTAGCAACTGAACAACAGGGACAAAAACAACAAAGTTATTTATTAAAAAAAAAATACTGAAGGTATAAAACACTGCCCCAAGTAAACAATGTGAAAAGCTACTTTGCAGCCATCTGCCTTCAGGAAGGACCCATATTAGGGTTCATTCCTTTGGCGCATGCAACTGAGATGTGAGGGATGGAACCTGATTGTAACGTTAGTTAAGGGGAAAACACCCTCAATTAAAATTAGCTTTGAATGAATCACAAACTGAACTTGAAATTTTAGTCAATAACCTCTAAAAGTGACTACCTTTATAAAACATGAAAAAGTAAAACCAAAAGCCCTACTTTTTAGTAAGATTCTGGTTTTATGAATGCTAAATGAAGAAAATTTACTATGAAATAGAACAGTGCCTTCTTAACACAAGGTAAACTTGAACAAAATAGGTTAAATAGTTTTCATGCTGATATGAGAAATGGTAGATTTTTTTGCAAATATGACAAAAGTATGCAGAGTATATGTGACAAAATGTCTGGTGTCTCTTTTTTCTAGATTAGCAGAATTCACCCACGGTCACTGTTGTTCCTGGTCCTACTTTCGGCACCTATGACTTTTGTTTACTCAAGAAAACGTCAATCTATTGATGCTTCTGTTTTCCTTGCTTGTAATAACATCTATTCCAAAGGGCTAATGAGATACTCTGCATGTGAAAATGCTTTTTAAATTGCAAGGACCCATTACTAATGTTGATTATGAACCTACGTGCTGGGCGTGGTACTAGACGCTGAGGCCAGACATGTAAATAAGCGTACAGTCCAACGAAGGCGCGCTGAGGACCATGTAATGTAGTAAATGCTCTGAAGGATGCAGTGCAGGGAACTATGGGAACCTGTAGGGGACATGCTAACAGGGCTTGGGGACTAATATCTGAGTCTTTGGAGAAAATGACATCGAGGAAGAACTAAAGAACAGACAGGAACCAGGCCGGGAGGGCTACAAATATTCGATGGAGAAGTCAGTGCCAAGCCAGTCACATCACGGAGCCTGGGTTTCAGCACAATGGCGGGGGCGGGGGGGCGGGGAGGGGGCAGGGACACTGCAAATAAAACCAGCAACATGTAATCTGCAGCTCGGTGACTGCACTTTGGAGGACAAATTAGAGAACAGTGCGACTGGAGGCAGAAACACCAGTGAGGGTTGTCTCAGGCAAGTGGAGATGGTGGCTGGCCTAGGAAACTGGCAAGGAAAGGAGATGAACGCAGGACGTATTTAAGAAAGAGGCAATGAGACTCCGTCTCTGACTGATATAGGGTTTGGAGAGAAAGGAATCGAGAACTCTGGCCCTTCTGCAGCCTCAGGAAACAGTACTCTGGGCCCATCTGTGGCTTCCTCATGGTAGACCCCGTAAGCCAGAGCAGAGGTGAAGCCACCTGGAGCGACATAAGGGAGCAGAAAAGACAAGTGGCCTTTGCTGTCTGAAACTAACAGACTGGTGTGTCAGCTAAACATGTGACACTTGTGAGACCCCTGGGTGCTCCAGAAACACCAGGGGTAGGAGGACACCTCTCTAAAGTCTAGCGCTTTTGCACTGAAAATTGAAAGAAAACAAAAATCAGGAAGAGTGGATTATGATGTCATTGTGACTATTTTATTACCCAAGACTGGGAAGGCCTGGGGAAAAGGAGGTAATAAATAAATTCCTGAATTATGCCAAAATGCAAAACATGAAATACATATATGAAAGCCTCATGACAAACATCCTTGCCACACAGCCCACTGTGGAAGAAGATAATGTTAAGATACCAAGAGAACATGCACTGAAAAGTTCTAAGGACTAAAGGAGGTCCGACTCCTTTAAGAAACACACTTTAGGAACTTCCCTGGTGGTCCAGTGGTTGGGACTTCACCTTCCAATGCAGGGGCTGTGGATTTGATCCCTGGTTGGAGAGCTAGGATCTCACATGCCTTGGGGACCAAGAAACCAAAGCATAAAGCCAAGGCAAGGTTGTGGCAGAGTCAATGAAGACTTTTTAAATGGTCCGCATTAAAAAAAAAAAAAAGAAGAAATATGCTTTACATAATCAAAAGCTGTAAGACTCACTCAGTGCTTCAGTCAAATTCTAAACACCAAAAACCAAGTAAATAAAGAGTGTTCTAAGTAAAGTAAGAGGCACATAGATCATAACCTAAAGACATAGTACTTACATTCTTCTTAATTTTATTCTTGATTGTTTCAATTACTCCAGCCTCTTCACTTTCACACAGCTTTTCTGTAGTTTTTAAGTCATCACACGCCAACTGCATTTTTTCTTCCTCAAATGTCATCATGGCATTCTTCCAAAGAAAGAAATAAGGAAAGAATGAATGAATCGTTAAGTGTCTGAAAATTTAGGCCAATTTATCGCAATACAACTCCGAACTAGAGGGGAGCAGGGAAAGCCATCTAAATGATTTATTCCTAGTAAAAGAATCAGAATGCTACCACATACACTATTCATTGAAAAAAATATAATCTCAGTATGAAACAAGAACATATCTCCATTACACCAGCATGAAAAAATACATGCTTAACACATGTCTTCGCAATTACTGTTCTACAAGTTTTTGTTATTAAACACAGTAACAAAAAAAATTACTGTATACAGTTTCTGATTGGCCCACTTAATTCAGCTTCTAGAATAGAGATTTTCTACACATGCATGGGATCCCTGGGTCCATCAAGCACAGCACAAAATGCCAATGAAACATCAGCCAGCAGGTACTCTTTGAAAACTATCGGTCTTTTCAGGGACAGCAATTCCAATGGATTCATTTATAAAAAAACTCATTTCTTACTGTTCCCAATGAAAAATTCCCAGACAGCTCATTTCCAAGCACCCAATCCTGGTAGACTTTTTCAGAACACACTGGGATAGAAACGATCCCTTCTTTGCTGAAAACCTGCTACTTTCCCCCAGAAGAATTGAGGTTGCTGAGATGAACGGGTTTCAGGGGCAGAGACAGGGCACCAGGTTCTTGGAAGGACTTGATGAACTCACTGTGACTAGCTCTCCACCCCCATCACATCCAACCTGACCACTCTGGTACCCTAGGCCTTCTCTGTATGACTCTAGACTACTTTTCCATTTCAGCCAGACACTAGCCACCTTTGCCCAAGCCTGCCTCCTACACTTTCCAACCAAATACCAACACTGCTACAGGCTCCCTCCCCCACCCACCTCCTCCCACCCAGCCAAGCCTTCTGCCATGTCTCCCAAGCATCCTTCCTTGCTACATGGGTGGGTACCATTTATGACCCCCACCCAGTACCACTTTCCTTAAGATCTGGAACTATGTGGCAAACAGAAGGCCTTAAGAATTGTTAAAAAGATTTGTTATATTACCTGGTAATAAGACTGAAGAAGCCTGAATGAAAACCCATGTCACCAGAAGCTGGTCTGGTGCCCATCACTGGTGCTACAAGACTGCATGCAACACACCCATTTGGTGAGCTTTTTCTGTCTGGAATCTAAATGCTTTCTCCACTTTACTTCCCTCAAGTCTCTACTCAGGACTTTTTTTTTTTTTTTTTGCAGTTATATAATTAAATGATACTTTCTTTAAAATTATGTTTGAAAGTAGTTTGTATGATAAGTATTCTGAAAAATAAAAGCATTCAATTTTCTGCATTGCCCAATTTACTTTAAAACCTAACTGCAACCTATTCCCTCAATTCCTAAATACTAACATTCAAAAACACAATAGTAACTGAGAAACTTTAAGTCTGCTAAAATAACTTGTCTTCCAGTCCACATTTATTTAATAGTTTTAAACTTTTGATAAATAAAAAAAAATAATAAACTTTTGATAAACAACAAAAGTTTAGTTTCAAACTTTTATTATCCAAAGTCTATTTTCTTTTCAACTCTAATGCATTTTTAATTTTTGGAAAGTGAAAGTGTCTCAGTCCTGTCCGACTCTTTGTGACCCCATGGACTGTAGCCTGCCTCCATCCATGGGATTTTCCAGGCCAGAATACTGGAGTAGGTAGCTGTTCCCTTCTCCAGGGGATCTTCCCGACTCAGGGATTGAACCCAGGTCTCCTGCATTGCAGGTGGATTCTTTACCAGCTGAGCCACCAGGGAAGCCCTCTGATCTTTCAATTACATTTTTATTTTAAAAAGGATTTTGATTGGAAAAAATTTAATACTCTAGAAAATATAAGCATTTAATTTTTTAAATTAAGGAAGGACAGCTCATAAGTGTTGGTGTATAGGCAAAAGTTAAATTCCAGTTTTAAACTGCAAAAGATTTTCCACAAGAGTGTATCTATACAGCCAGTAACCATTAAAAGACAGACATTATGTGTTTGCTTCCTTCCCACCACAACCTCTTCCCACATTAACTTACCAAAAAACTGACAAAGCTGGCTCCAAAACTCATTAACGGGCTATGATTTCTGTTAAGAAAACAAAGTACAATTAAAATTACTTTTTTGTAAAATTTTATTTTAAAAACATTTGATATACCAGGATCATTGCAGACTCCTACTAATTATTTAATGTAAGTTGTTATGGTCTTCAAGGTGATTTAATTACCCTAAGAATAAAGTAAAAAAGGCAAGGAAGTTCACAGTTCTATCAGGACAGAACCTCCCCCTCACCTGACTCTTCCAAGCAAGGAGAACAAGAAGGTCATATTATAATAGATGTTGCTTTAGTAAATCAATCTGATTATCTGGAAAAATGTGGCCAGAGAGAGATTATTAACATTCATTTTTTAAAAAAAATTTTCCATAAATTTTAACAACTTAAGTATAGTTGATTTACAATGTTTCAGGTATAGAGCAAAGTGATTCAGTTCTACATATATTTTTCAGATTCTGTTCCCCTGTAAGTTATCACAAGGCATTGAATATAGTTCCCTGTGCTATACAGTAGATCCTTGTTTATCTATTTTATATATAGCAGTGTGTATGTTAATCCCAAATTTCTAACTTATCAGCCCCCCACTTCATTTTCCTCTTTGGTAACCATAAATTTGTTTCCTATGTCTGTGAATCTATTTCTGTTTTGTAAATAAGCTCATTTGTATTGCTTTCTTAGATTCCACACACAAGTGATATCATCTGACATTAATATTTTCTTTTAAAATGCAAACATGCTCAAAACTTAGCACACATAAAATATTATTTTCAGAGTAGATCAAAAGGTTTTATCATTTAAGCCAAACTCACTTATCCCAACCAAAGAACTTTCAGAATGTCTCCATGGAGCCAGTCATCACCCTGCTGTAATACACAATCATTATCCGATTTTATACATAAGCCAAAAATATGAAGCGAGATCAAACTAGTACCAATCCAATTTAAAGAATATAAGGATAAACATTCTGCTTCAAATTCACAATTAGTACAAAAATCCAAATCTCTGTAAACGGCGCTAAAGGGAAAGCAAATTGTAACAGCCTTCTTAAAAATAATGGTCCTGCTTTTTTTATTATGTAAATATATATGCTTATTATAAACAAAGCCATGAACAATGTATTTAGTCAATCCCCTGTTGGAAATTTAGTCTATGTCCTATGTAACCATGTGTGTGTTTGGGGGTATGTATGGGAGGAAAAGTGTGCCCATTTAGATGGATATATGTATGTGTACATACACACATACTCAATGCTCGGGGGAATATCCTTGTCCATGTATTTTTGAAGAGAGTCTAAACGTACTCTTGGAATAAACTGCTAGAGGCCGCACTGCTGGGTCAAATGGCAAGCACATCCATTTTCCTCTTGGATGGGGGTGTCTATTGAGGACAAGGGTGAGGATCAACAACTCTTATTTGAAATGTTCATCCTCTATCAACTTGGTAGCTACTCCAACTCTACAGTGAAGAATAGCCTATCCACCCCCACATCACAGGTACTTAGATCTACAAGAATTAGAAAGGTCTAGTGATGGGTGATGAATCCCACACCAGTGCTCACAGCCATGAACCAGCTCTAACACACCTCCCAAGCACGCAGGGCAGGCTCCATCCTCCCAACTCTGCATCAGCTAGGTCAGAGGTCAGTTTTCCACTCCACGGCTCTCCCCTAACCTGTCATGACAGACTCCCATCTTGCAGTATTATAATCTGGATTGTGTAATCAGGGTCCTCTCCAGAATGCTATTTTCTGCCTTGTCCCCCTCATCGTCATGCCTTACACACAGTGGGCAACCAACAAAGACCAATCAGTGATGGAACGGAAGCGCTCGGCCTTTCAGAAACAGACACACTTCAATCAAGAGCTGAGCAGCCCGGCTTCCCCTATCCTTGCCCGTTCCCTGCTTATACATCAACCACTGTCCATGAGAGAAACGAAAGAAGCTAATTAAGAGCCTAGCGTTGCTACATTTGCTTCTTGTTCTGGACTAAAATTAGGTTTCTGGGAGCCAAGGCTATTAATGATTCATGTTGTCCTAGCCAAGCCCTTAGTACTTCACATACCCTCTTCTCATTTAAGTGACAAATCAGCCCAAGAGAAACATTTTTCCCTCCTTGTCTTCATAAACCCCAGGGCACCGAGATGCATTAGCCACTTGATAATGAACTGATGGAGAAGCAGGAATCCTCCTGCTGCTCTTAGCCTGGTGCTGTAAGCACTCCATCTAACAAGAGTCCCTTGTTCCATTCATCTGATTTTCTTTAACTCAACATGATCCAGGTGATCATGTATTAATTGAGCTCCTCTAAATCAATCTTTGCCCCCACATGTGTTTCTACATAAAACTGATTCAATTTGGAGATCTGGAAATGTTCTCAAAGAGTGCAAGGATCATCACTTCAACACCACTGTTGGTGGCAAAGAAGATGCTAGTTTCTACAACAACAAAAAAGTGTAAGGAGGGGAAAACTGCAAGGGAGCCTGTAAAATACATATAAAACAACTGGGACATAAGAAACATATAAAACAAATACAAATACGTGTGTGTGCTTAGTCGTGTCCAACTTTTTGTGATCCCATGGACTGTAGCCCACCAGGCTCTTCTGTCCATGGAATTTTCCAGGCAAGAATACTGGAATGGGTTGCCATTTTCTACTCCAAGGGATCTTCCTGACCCAGGGATACAACCCGCATCTTTTTCATCTATATCCACACATACACTAGCAACAATTACAAAACGAAACCTAAAAAATTATCATTCACAATAGCACCAGAATATTAATAGTTAAGGATAACTCTACCCAACATGTGCAACACTGCTATGCCAAAAACTCAAAACAATAAGGAAAATGAAAAAATCTAAGTCAACATTTTGCAACAGTCGCACTCTTAACATTTGGGGCCAGATAATTTTGTTGGGGAGGTGCGGTACTATGCACTGCAGAAAGCTGAGCGGCCTCTCTGTCCTCTACCTACAAGATGACAGAATACAAGCCACCGCCTCCCCTGCACACAGCGCCCCCAACGGCTGTGGCAACCAAAATGTCTCTAGAGTGCCAGGTGTAGTATCGGGACAAAATCAACTCTAGTTGTGAAACACTAATGTAAATCAAGAGACATCCAATTCTTACAGATTGGAAGACTCATAATTGCTGAGATAGTACCTTCTCTTAAATTGAACTGTGGCTCCAATACAATCTCAAGCAAAATCCCAGGGGAGGGGGTGTTTGAAAAGTTGATTCTAGAATCTACATGGAGATAAAAAGTGCTCCATAACTAAACTAAAAATATACATGGAAAAGCAAAATACTTAGAATGGCCAAATTAAGTTTGAAAGACCAACAAAGCTGTAGATTTACATTGCCCAATAACAGAACTGAATTAAAATTAAGAATTTCTGGTCACTCTCAGGAGACTGAAGAAGGCAAATGCACATATTCAACAAACAGCTCGTCTTGAGAACACATAAAGAACATCCATAAACTAATTTAAAAAAATGACTGGCAACTGACTGGCAACCCAGTTTAAAAAAAAGGGGGGGTGGCAAAAGTCTTGGACAAGCACTTCACAAGCGAGGATATCCAAAAGTTAATAAGTATATATAAAAGTGTTGAAAAGCATTCATTATCAGAGAAATACAAATTAAAACCAAAACAAGATACCACTATATGCTCATCAGACTGGCCACACTTATAAGGACTGGTAATAATACCTGTGTTAGTGAGGATGTGGAGTATCTGGACTCTAAAACACTGCCTGGTAGTATTTACTAAAGCGATATGCCTACTCTACTAAAACCCCATCCACATTTCTGATCTACTAATCACAGGCCTATCTATGACTCAGTAAGTTCACTCCCAAGGATACATGTACAACAGAATTGCATTATTATGCCCCCAAAAGACATGTATGGTTTTTTAATAGTATTATTCTTAGTAGCCTCAAACTGGAAACAATTCAAATGCCCATGAACAGTAGAACGGATCAAATAATCGCAGCAGTCAATGAAATAGTTCACAGCTGTGAAAACAAACTACTGCTAAAGGCAAAAACATGAATTAATCTCAGAGATGGAGAGTGAAGGAAGTCAGACATATAGGAGTATATACTGAATGATTCCATTTACATGAAGTTCAAAATCACTATTCTGACCACTAATGATAACAGACTTCAGAACAGTAGTATCTTTGAGGGGGTAGTGACTGAGAAAGAGCCCAAGGAAGGATGCTGTGATGTTAGAAATATCTTTTATCTGGATATAAGTAGTTAACACTGTGATATTTACATATTCTTTACTATATGGAAAGTTTTTCCTTATGAAAAAGAGAAAATTCAAAAAATAGATAAATGATCACTGATATGTATTTGATGCTATTAGTGAATCAGTATTAATTTTTTTATGAAAATGGTATTACTCCTACATTTTAAGGACTTCTTAAGAGATGTATATGAAAGCATTTACAGATCAAATGACAACTGAGATTTGTTTCAAAAATAATTTGAGGTAGGAGAATTAAAAGTCAGCAGAAGTATACATAAAACACGATTTCCCATGACTTGATAATGATTAATGCTGTCTGATTGGAACATGGGACCTGATTAAACTATTTTAAATACTTTGGAAGCTATAGGCTATTTTTCAAAATAAAAAGTTAAAAAAGCATAAAAACACTCTCCAAAGGTGATGTCTTTTGGAATTATTTGATGAGAAGGGTTCTAATAATCACTGCCATAGTTTGCTTTTTGAATATGAACCATCAGTAATAAAATGACTTAAAATTTCCTGTCTGAAGCCTCTCCCAAAGGTAGGAAAACTGTTAAAAACACAAAGATGCAGTGGATATTCTGTTTCTAAATTTATGAACATTGCCATGGAAATTTAAAAACAACAAAGTTTCTCCAACAGATTAAAAATTGGATTGATGAAGATTGTTTCTTAAAATACAGTGGGAGGTAATATACATATTTGACTCTCAAAGGAACATCCTTCCATTAAATAATTATAACTAACCGCATATGCTTTCTCAAATGTAA